GCACAGCCGGAGCCCCTTGGCAATGCGAGCACGAGCACGCTTCCCAAGCTTGGGGTGGGCAATGTAGGCAAGTCGATGGAGCTTGCGGCTGACACCCTTAGGGATCTTGGGCTTAACCTCCTTGGGCTTTACGAGGGCCTTGACAGCCTCGGCACGTGCACTCATGGCCTTGGCATTGTTGGCCTGCATCTTCTTTAGGCCCTTCTTGTTGTGCTTCTTGGCACAGCGCATGTTCCTCAGGAACTTGGGGTCCACCCCCTTAAGAGATTCGTATCTTTGTGATCGGGGTTTCTTGATACCATTTCTGTGCCATTTTCGGGACTGGTTGTGTGTGGTGTGGTTCTTGGACTTGGCCACGTCTGCACCTTTAGCCGCGGCTCCCGAAGCGCCTAGAACCGGAAGAGCACATGAGAATCTTAATGTATTTTTATCAACATTGCTATGAGCAAAAGATGCTAGTAGTTGTTTTCAAATATACACATATATACACATAAGTGCAAATCATAGGAAAATGGACAAAATCAAAGTTCTACCAAGATTGCCTATTATTAGTTACTGACTTTTTCTGATAGAAAGAAAAAAATTGTGATTGTCCAGTCTCCCTGAGGATTTCTTTGTCTAATTTCTGATAGGGAAGTATCAAAGTGTGAATTCATTTAATATATAAGACATCATAAAAAGCAAAATAATCCAACACAAAGTACAATGACATTTTCTTTCTTTGTATTTATTTTGCTGCTTTGGCCTATCATCTGCTTGATGTGCTAACAAGGAAAAGAGGGAGAAGCAAGGAGAGCAGCTGTTGTAGAAAGGAAGACTGTCCTAGGATACTCAGGATTCCAGTGTTCTCTAGCTTACTACACTATTTTATGAAGAATAAGACAATATAGTCAAGACTTCTGCAAGAAAGATTAGACTACCCGTGTGTAACCACACAAGTCAAAGACAGGGCTGGTGAAGTTAAAAAGAGATTTTCTTAAAGTTTCCTAGTATTGACATACTTTGGTACTACAACTGTTAACTGTTAATCTTGAAAGGACCTTAGAGGAAAGGGTCCCAGTGTCTATGTTACACTGTTGAAGAAACAAAATAGTTTACCTCAGTGTTGCAATGTGTTTTTAGGGAAATGTGTCACCTATGAAAAATAGTGTCAACATCTTGCACAAATTTTACCCATGTGGCATATGAATTTCTGCAAGCATTCCAAAATCAATGACATATACCTACATATATCTTAGGCAAATATTAGCAGTTAGATATAATGTACAGACTAAAGTATTAGTCTGATCTGAATCAAAAATAAATTCAGTTTCCTGGAAATAAAAGGTAGACATAACCAAACACAGTACAGCCCTCTTATACTTATCTTGTGGAAGTTTACAGATGATTAAGAAATGACTCTAAATATATATTTGTTTCTAGGGAACATGACTATCTGCTAGCATTTCTTTGGTGTTATTGAACAGATTGGTTAATGATACTTTATTTCTCCTCAAATGAAAGTCCCCCCCCCCCCAAGAAGTCATTTATTTTCTGTTAGAAAAGTTCAATGATTTCCTTGTGCCTTACTGGACAAACCACTCTGGTGTGCTCTATCGAACAATTCTTTTTAGCTGGAGCAGAGCCTTTGTAGTTGACTCTTCTGATGGACCTTGTTTTTAGCCTCAACCTGAAATATGGGTCACCATCCTCCACCTTTGCTACAAGAGACAGAAACTGCCATGAAAATAAATTATAACATCAGCACATCATGCACTGACTGGTATCACTGTTTATTTAGAAGCCAACCAACTTATCTTTCCTGAGGTGATGTAACAAGGGGCAAAGTGTATGGGCTTTGAAGTCAGAAGAGTGAGATTGAGACTTGGATCAGCTGCTTATTGCCTAAAGAAGAGAACTTCACTTCCCTAAAATGTCAACTTCTTTAAGTATGAAATGAATGAGGAATATTAGGAATAATATCAACAGTGCAGAGTAGAGTAGTTGTGAGAATTCGATTATAACTATATGAAGAAGGGCTTTGTAAGTACAAAAGCACAAAATATAATAAAATGGTTGAGCAGACACTATTGTAATCCTGTATAGTCCTTTGACCCACCTCTGAGTTCACCTGCAGCTGTTTCTGTGCATGAACCCTACCTCAAGCACCTGTGACTCTGCTTCTCTGCTTGAGAGCTTTCTCTGGCACCACAGGAGCCTGCTTAAGTGTACATGGATGCAAGTGGAAGTTGTAGAAAGTTAACACCCCTCAGGACAACCCTCAAACAATAGGGAATCAGAGTTGGTAGATAAATGCCTTAGTCTCCCCATCACTCTCTAGGAAGATTCTGGAGTGTATTTCATGTAGTTTCCCTGAGGGTTCTCACGATGGTTCTCATGATTTTGTATGTCAACTTGACTGGGCTAAGGGATACCCAGATAGCTGTAAAACATTATTTCTGCATATATCTATGAGAGTGTTCCTAGAAGGGATTAGCATTTGCATCAGTAGACTGAGTAAAGAAGACCACCTCATCAATTTGGGCAGGCATCATCTAATCCCTTGAGGGCCTGAATAGAACAAAAAGGTAGAAGAATGCTAACATGCTCTCTCTTCTTGAGCTGGGACTCCCATCTTCTATTTTCTCCTGCCGTCAGACATAGGAGTTCCTGGTTCTCAGGCCTTGGGACTAGTGATGGGAGTTATACTGTCAGCTTTCCTAGTCCTTCCTTCGGCTTGCAAATAGTGAAACTTCTCAGTCTCCGTCATTTCATAAGCTAATTACTATAATAAATATCTCTCTGCCTCCTCTCTCTCTCTGTATATATACACACACACACGCACGTGCATGCACACACATACACACACACACATAAGGGTACATATATATAGATTCTATTTATCTGGAGAACCCTGACTAATACAGTTCCCATCAGGATTGCTTCAGTTGCCCATTGCAATAACCTGTTCTTTAATGCACCCTCTATTGGCTTTTCTCCTCACTGTCTTGCTTCCCACTCTTTATCACTCATGTGGCTGTGGATCACCTCCTAAACAAAATACATGCTCCCAGGTCCTTATCTTGATGTCTATTTTGGGTAGGGGGAGGAGCAAATTAAGATAGTGGTAGTGGTTCTTGAATGTGCCTGAGTGAGTTAATCCCTCCATGTCCCCATTCACAACCTCGAAACCAAGGGGGAAATCTTTCTCAGCTCATATTTCTGGGTGAAGTGTATGTTGCTTCTCTTTATTGTCTAAAGGGTCAAGATGCTTCAGCAACTGAGGTGATTACAGGATGTATCTTTTGACTGCAGTGAGGCTTGAGAGACCAATTGTAAAAACTCAACTGAGGAATGAGACTTGTGATGAGTCTATCATTTTGCTGAATGTGTTAAATGTATTTTTTGCAGATTATTTGTGAATTGTTCAAATTGTATGTTTGTACTAAACAATGACTCATCTACTCAATTCTTGTATTTTTTCAACAAATAGTATAGAATGTTTTCCCTATATTAGACACAGTACTAGGCACCAAGGACGTATTAGTAAAAACAGCATACATGGATCATAGTTTCATGTTCTTTCAGAATTTAGTATCTATTAGAAGAGACAGACTATATATCACCAATTAGATAACCTCCTTTTAAATTATAATTATGATAAATGCCATGAAATAGAATATATACATTCAGTGGGGCTTCTGAAATCTAGAGACCAAACACTATGCGAACCAACAAGATATAGAATTATCGATACATTCTTAGCCTTCTTGAAGTGATTAACATACCTTATACCTATATAGTTTTATTTACCACTTTGTCTCACAGTGGAAGAATATCATGCTGTGTTATTTCTGTTTTGTTACTCTCAACAGCATAATGACTGTCAATGCTATTAACTGGTTCCATAGAAACTTTACTGCTGCCTATAGTAGCAGAGTGAATTATTGACAGGGTTAATCTTCTCCCAAATAATTTAGCCTTTCTGCAATTTACAGCAATAAGTTTCTCAAGTGTGTATTTACTACAAAACCATCCATTTTTGGCTTTTATAAAAGCTGTAGGAGACGTTTGTTACCTTGTCCTGTCACACTATGTAGTGTTAAATAGCGATGGTTTAATGTCATAAAATATAGTGGGGAAGACTGCTGAGACTTGAATATAATCAATTTGCTCCAATTCTAGTTTAGGTGAAAATTTATTGCTAAATTGCCTTTTTAAGAGCTGCTTTGGTTATTTAATATTGATCTCAAAATGATTAAGAAATGGAACACTATTGATTTTTAAATGAAAAAAGTCCTTATAATGACAATAAGAACCAGATTGCAAAAATTTTAGGTGATAGAAGTAGATTTTAATAGTCTCCATCAGTTCCTAGAGTTGAATTTGCAAGCTATATAGTTCTTTTGCTTAGGTTGGAAAGTCCAACAAGATAAAAAAAAAAAAAAAAGTCCAGTTTGCTAACTGTAGAACAAAAGACATGTTGTACAAATGTTGATATACTAAAAAATCATGAAATAGAGCTATATTTGACTATGGCCAGCAAGGATTTAGATCTAAAGTCATTACCTCATCACTAAATCTTAGAAAGCTTCTTGGGCCTGGTAGCAGGCATACAATAACACATGTTAATTGTTGTTTCCTGAATTATTTTCTGGTCATGCCCCTGTCCTGATTTTCCTTGAGTTACAGTAGCCTACATAGTCCTTGATGTTTTAAAGTCATTTCATATCACCTAGGAAGTAAGATCAAATCAGAAATTGTGACAGATATCTTTTTGATTTGGGATCAAAAATAATTTTCTAGAGGACAAATTTATTTCATCAATAAAGTAATTAAACTGTTTCAGATGAAAATCTTTCTAGAAGTTTCCTTGCCTTTCTATTCTCAAAGAAGTAGGTTTGTAGGTTTTCAGAATCATTTTTGGCACTCCTGCTCTTTTTCAGCTAAAGATCCTCTTCTTAAGGAGCATGTTTGTACAACACTCCAAACAACTGTGCTTATCTATTTCCCCTATAAAAGCCTCTTCACTCCATGACTAAGAACTCTTGAATGGGCTATTGTGTTCTACTTTCAGTTCTGCCTTACATAAATGCTGGTTTTGATCCTTTGGAACAAGTACTTGAATGTTTTCTCTTCTTTCTTACCTATCATCCTCTCTCCCTCTAGCTGTCATTCAGGGCTAGATTTTTAAAAAACATTCCAGCGCTAGCCAATTACACAATTTCTTATCCTTCACTAGACTCTTAACTTATAACAAATTCCACAACCACCATAGAAATGAAATGAAAAGAAATCTATATAAAAATTGTTCTCATCATTTTATAATTCAATTCCCATTCCTTTGTATGATTTCTGTAACACTTGCTGAATTCTAAAAGTAATTTTTTTCCAAAGAGGCCATTGGTTTAAAACAAATCTTTGTTTGCTATACACTCCTAAATGTTAATACCAGTTGTAAACTCCACCAGTAGAAATTTAATTTAAATTTAAAATGATGACTTTTCTTGAGTTACATCATCTCTGTACAGGTATATGCATTAATATGCCATCTATATTCAACTTACTTTATATAGATGGGTGACTATAAATAAGGTAAAGATAGAAGCTCAGAAAAGAAAGTCAAAATAAAATAAGAATTTTATAATCTAATTTTGCTTAATTTATACAAAGGTATGAATTCAATCTTCAGCTTCTACCTGAGGTAAACAGTATTTACACCAAACCTTTGAGCCATGTGTTGTGTTAGCTATAAAGGGTTTGAAAGAGAAAGAAAGGTAAATAGACTGCAGGCTTTTTTTTCTCTGCAACACATTCAATGTTCTAGTTTCAGAGGACGACAGCAGTAGTAATCTCTGCAATTGCTAATCAACATTGCATCACCAGGTCTCACATCTTGGCCATCCATTATTACTTATACAAATAGTGTGCTTTTGGCTTAGTTTTTATTCTTAAGTGTTTTAAGTTGGAAAGCAAAGTACATCTGACCTTATTCAAAAGTATTTGAAGAGGAAAAAGGTGGAACAAGAACAGAACCTTGCAGTGATTGTCCCCCCTGCAGGAACACCAAATTGAAGAACTATCACCACAAAAAACTATCAACACAAAAAAACACCTTCATAAGAACAAAATATCAGGTGAGTGATGACAATGCCTGGTTTTAATATTAAGGAAAGAGTCACTAAAGAAGGTAGGAAAGACATGATTGAATTGCCTACATCACTCGTCTACCATCCCCTGGCAGTAGCCTTGAGGCATGGGAAGAAAACCCGTGCACTTGTGGAAAGGAGAGTGTAGTGATTGTGGGACTTCGCATTGGAACTCAGTGCTGCTCTGTCACAGCAGAAAGCAACATGGGGCAAAACTCAGCCACAGCTCACGAAGGGAACATTTAGACCAGCCCTAGCCAAAGGAGAATCATCCATCCCAGTAATTGGAACCTGAATTCTGGCAAACCTCACCACCATGGACTATAGTGCTCTAGGCCTCTGAATAAACTTGAAACGCAGTCCAACCTACAAGGCCTGCAATTCCTGAGCAAGTCCTGGTACTGTGCTGGACTCATGGCCAGTGGACTTAGGGTACAGATGACCTGCTGAGATACCAGCTGGACCACCAAGAGAGTGTTTGCATTACACCTACCCCAATCCCCAACAGCTCTGCGAGAGACTCTTCTCTTCCATTTGAGGAGAAAAGAGGAAAGAGTAAAGGGGACTTTCTCTTGCAACTTGGATACCAGCTCAGCCACAGTAGGATAGGGCACCAGGCAGATTCCCAAGGTCCCCATTCCAAGCCCTAGCTCCTTGACAACATTTTTAGATACACCATGGGCCAGAAGGGAACCTGCTGCCTTGAAGGGAAGGACCCAGTTCTGGCAAAATTCATCACTTGCTAAATAAAGAGCCCTTGGGCCCTGAGGAAACATCAGTGGTAGCTGGGCAGTATTCACTGTGGGCCTTGGGTGAGACCCAGAGCCTTGCTGGCATCAAGGGTGACCCAGCACATTCCCAGCTATGGTGGCCACTGGGTGAGATGCCTTTTGTTTGAGGAAAAAAGAGGGAAGAGTAACAGGGACTCTGTCTTGCAGCTTGTGTACCAGCTTGGCTACAGTTGGGTAGAGCACCAAGCAGACTCCTGGGGTCTCCGATTCCAGGGCTTGGCTCCTGGACAGTATTTCTGGACCTTCCCTGCGCTAGAGAGGAGCCCAATACCCAGAAGAGAGAGACCCAGACCTGGTGGCATTCACCACAGGCTGACTGAGGAGCCCTTGGGACCTGAATGAACATTGATGGTAGCCAGGCAGTACTTTCCATGGGCATGGAGGGGGTGGTAGTAGCCACAGGGAGAAAATCCTTCTGCTTGAGGAAAGGAGAGGGAAGACTGGGAAGGACCTTGTCTTGAAGCTTACATGCCACTTCAGCCACAGTGGAGTGGAATAGAGCACCAAGTAGAGTCCTAAGTTCCTTAACTCCAGGCCCTGGCTTCCAGATGGCATTTCTGGACTCCCCCTTGGCCCAAGGGAAGCTCACCATCCTGAAAGAAAGAACACAAACCTGGCTAGCTTTGCCACCTGTGGATTGTACAGCCCTTGGGCCTGGAGAGAACATCAGCAGTAGCCAGGCAGTGGTTACCATGGGCCTTGGGCAAGACCTAGTGCTGTGCTGGTTTGAGGTCTAACCCAGTGCAGTCCCAGTGGTGATGGCCACAAGGGTGCTTGGGTCACTCCACCCTAGGTCCAGGAGGCTTACCACAGAGTGAGAATCCATTTGTTTGGGAAAAAGTAAGAGAACAACAAGAGTATCTAGCTGGTAATCCGGAGAATTATTCCAGATCTTATCCAAGACCACCAAGGCGGTACCTCCATGAGTCTGCAAGAACCACAGCATCACTGAGCTTGCAAAGTTGGCTTAGATCACAACACCCAAGCACCTTCTAATACCTGGAAAGTCTTCCAAGGAAGAATGGGTACAAACAAGCCCAGACTGAAAAGACCAAAATAAACACCTAACTCTTCAATGCCCAGACAACAAACATCCACAAACATTAAGACTAACCAGGAAGCCCTCACTAAATAAACTAAATAAGGTACCAGAGACTAATGCCAGAGTGACAGAGATATGCGACCTTTCAGACAGAGAATTCAAAATAGCTGTGTTGAGGAAGCTCAATGAAAATCAGGAGAACACAGACAAAACAAATTCAGAATCCTATCAGATAAATTTAATGAAGAGATTTGAAATAATTAATCAAGCAGAAATTCTGGAGCTGAAAAATTCAATTTGCCCACTGAAGACTGCATCAGGATCTCTGAAGAAAATTATTGATCAAGCAGAAGAAAGAATTAGAGAGCTTGAAGACAGGCTATTTGAAAATACAGTCAGAGGAGACACAAGAAAAAAAGAATAGAAAAGAGTGAAACATGTCAACAAGATCTAGAAAACAGCCTCAAAAGGGCAAATCTAAGAGTTATTGGCCTTAAAGAGCAGGTAGAGAAAGAGATAGGGGTAGAAAGTTTATTCAAAGGGATAACAAAAGAGAACTTCCCAAACCTAGAGAAAGATAACAATATACAAGTACAAGAAGGTTATAGAACACCAAACACATTGAACCCAAAGAAGACTACCTCCAGGTATTTAATAATTGAACTTCCAAAGGTCAACAATAAAGGATTCTAAGAGCAGCAACAGAAAATAAATGAATAACATAAAATAGAGCTCCAATACGGCTGGCAGCTGTCTTCTCAGTGGCAACCTTACAGGCCAGAAGAGAGTGGCATGATGTATTTAAAGTGCTAAAGGAAAATAAACTGTTACCCTAGAATAGTATATCTGGTGGAAATACCCTTCAAACATGCAGGAGCTCCAATACGTCTGGCAGCAAATTTTTTAGTGGAAATCTTGCAGGCCAGGAGAGAGTGGCATGACATATTTAAAGGGCTGAAGGAGAAAAGCTTTCATCCTAAAATAGTATATTCAGTGAAAATATTCTTCAAACATGAAGAAGAAATAAAGACTTTCTCAGACAAGCAAAAGCTGAGGGATTTCATCAGCACTAGGGCCGTCCTACAAGAAATGCTAAAGGGAGTTCTTCAATCTGAAAGAAAAGGACTTTGATGGGCAATAAGAAGTCACCTAAAGGCACAAAACTCACTCACTAGAAACGGTACGAACATACACACAAAATACCCACAAAATATTATAACACTATAATTGTGGCATATAAACTACTCATATCTTGAGTATAAAGACTAAAAGATGAGCCTATCAAAAATAATAATTACAGCAACTTTTCAAGACATAGTATAGTAAAATATAAATGGAAACAACACAATGTTAAAACAAGGGGAATGAAGTTAAGTGTAGAGTTTTCTCTTTGCTTGTTTGTTTCTGCAATCAGGGTTATCATCAGTTAAAATGAGATATTATTGGCAAGCCTCACAGTAATCTCAAATTAGAAAACCTACAATAAATACACAAAAAATTAAAAGCAAGAAATTAAAACATACCACCTGAGAAAATCACAAGTATTTGAAGAGGTACTTTATTATTTGAGGTTTCATATCTTATTGTCACCTTTTTGTGGTTTATATGTATTAGCAAATTCCTGTAGCTCTAAGTCCTAGACTGTATTCATATGCCTAATATCATTCCATTCACATCATGTTCAATAAATACTAGTTTAAAATTTCAATAGCGATGATGATGAATATAATTCTAAGTGATGGCTGATGTAATAGCAATCATTTTATTTCTTTAATATTCTCTTCTTTGAGCCTCCTTCTTTGTCACCATATGTTACAGTGAAACCTTTCCAAGTTAGTATGACATTACACATTTTATTAAGTGGATTCTGAGTTAAAGGACACACTGATAAAGATTGCAGATGAGAGGAATCATAACAAAGACAGGAGATTATTTAAGTGAATGTTATGATTAGGAAGTACATTGATAAGGACATCAGAATTTGAGAGATAGGAGATCAACAAAACCTACTATAGAAATGTTATCAATTTGAATAACAGGAAGCTTTTTTTTTATTTTAATGATCATTATAGAGTAAGAATCTAAAAGAGTTGGAAGGGAAGAAATCTAAGCAATTCTCATTTTCATCCTATTGTGTCTCAAGGGCATGAGAAATATAGCAGTATCTGAAGCCAGGGTTCAGAGAAGATATTAA